GAGAAAAGTCCAGTCTTTGTCAAGTGTCAGAGGTCTATGACCAGAGTCAGGGTGGGGATTTTGTCAGTAAGGGTTCAGTACATGGGCCAGGGTCAGGGCTGTCTGCTCCCAGGGCCAGAGCTCAGTCTATAACCAAAACAAAAGCTGATGTGTGCCAATGATCAAAACTCAGTTTGTGTCTGTGTCCCAGCTCAATATATAATAAAGGCCAGGGAAACCAGGGTACATAATAAAGCTCTATGGAACAGGATCAGAGAGAGAAACTGGTAATAAATAAGGACCAGGATCAGGACACTGACAAAACATGGATCAGGCCTTGGAGTGTGGCCAGGCTCAAGTTCACTCTATAATCAAGGACTAACTCCCAGTATGGACCAAGGTGAGGGTTCAAGGCCAACATTAAGATTCAGTCTGTGTTAGATTCGGGACTTATTTGTGACCTTGATGAATTCTAGTTCTGGGTCAAGGCTTCCTCAGCATCATCTAGTTGTAGAAATGGATGATTTACTGAGTACATCTAGTTGACTAACCCCCACCCACAGCTCCATAGATTTCCCAGTTCCTCAGGGTCTTTGGGCTTCAGAAGAGAAAAAGTCAAAATTGTTCAGGAAGCTGGAATTCCCTATCATGTACTCAGGGTGCCCTCTGGTGGCACTCTCTAATAGTGTTGATTTCCTCAGGCTTAGCCCTCTGCTGTCGGGAACCCTGCTCCTCGGAATAGCTGCGGAAGCCCATCTGGCCATCTTACATGCTCCTGCATCTCTGCACACAACCCCAACAGAGCAGGAGACGTGGGGATCTGCAAGTGGACAGTGGACGCCCTTTTCTACCTTCCTGTTCAGTTGGCATCTGAACAGGATGGCATCAGGTGTGTGATAGGAGTCACAGCTTTCATTCACTGCTTGACATTGTTTGCCTACCTGTGTCAGGTGTAGGAACGAACATGATGACAATCTCCTGGTTCTCATTCCTCTCCTTAATTCCTAACTCCTGGCCACAGTCCTCATGGAAACTCACCGGCATCCGTTGAAGTTTCACAGAGGTTCAGAACATCCGAAGGATCCCTCTCCATCAAATTTACAGGTTAGACTAAACTAGGCTTGAGGTCTGCCTCTACCTCTCACATACCACCACTCAAAGGTCAGAGGCTCCTAGGTCTCAAACCAGGGCCCTTTTCTCCAGAATCCAGGCCTGTGGACCTGCCGCTTCAGGACTGCTCTCCTGGGCGGACAGCTCCTAAGTTTCTCTCAGAATATGGTCCTCCAACTTATACCTCATGGCTCCAGCAAAATCTAGTACTTCCTTCTAGAGCCTTTTTGTTCCCTTCCCCAGGATGAAATCCAGCAGGTGACTGTCTCATTTACCTCAGAGACAGGTGCAGCTGCTCGAGGTGAGCGCTCAGCCCCACTCAACTTTGTAGTCACCTCTTAACCTTGTTTACTGTCTGCCCCCTCAACACTGTTTCCCACACAGCAGGCAGGGCAACCTTCACAGTCATAAATCAGCTCATGCTATGCCCCTGCTAGAACCCTCAGTGGCTCCCATCCCACTGAGAATAAAATCCGAGCTTTTCACCCAACCTTACACGAGGCTTGCCATGGCTTCACACCACTCCAGTTTCCCTCCCTCTAATCTCTATAGCCCTTTTCTCTGTTTTGACACACAGAGGCCAAGTTCTTACTTCCGGGCTTTTTCAAAGGCCATTTTCTGAACTTGAATTGTTCTTGCTTTAGACCTTAGCATGACTGACTCTTGTCATTCTAGTTGGAATTTAGCTTCTCTTGGAGAAGACCTCCCTAACGACCCAGGTGTCTAAGATACACATTTCTATTGTGATTTCCAACACAGGACTCTTTCCTGGTTGGTATCTTTTGGTCTTGTGTGTGTGAATGTGACATATGCATGGACATGGGTGCCCATGCACGTGTGCACAAGTGCAGTGGCCAGAAGAGAACATCAGATGTCCTACTCTGTCATTCTCTACCCATTCTCTTGAGACAGGGCATCTCGAGCTGAGTCTGAAGCTTGGTTGATGGCCAGCCAGCCTCAATAATATCCCACCTCCCCTAGCAAAGCACTGTGTTACAGGCTCATAAACATGGCCAGAGCAGCTTTTTCCATGGGTGCAGGAATCTGGCCTTAGGTCCTTGTGCTTCTGCAGCAATCACTGTTCCCTATGGAGCAATCTCTCCAGTCCTCCCAGCACTGGGCACATGGCAAAGTTCAGGAATTATCTGTTGGATTCATTGGTAAAAACTGGCTCTCAGTGGCATCCTCATTTCTCCTAGTGGGACTAGAGGAAGAAACCCCAGTTTCTGACTCCTTATGGGTTCTCTAGCCCAGATGAGCAGCAGCTTCCTCTGAGGGGCAGGGCTTCCTGGACCACCCCAAAGTTCCCCCATGAACAGTCCTGGGGAGCACTCTCCTTCCAGAAGGATCAGCTCTGTGTCCTCACTGCAGCCCTGGACCTCTGGGGGATGAGGGTCACATTAGAGGGCTTGGTCCTTTGAAGTGCCCCTGGCAGGCATTACCAGGCCCTCATGGACTCCTCATGGTCAGGGAGCTTGCTTTCAGAACCTCATCCTCACCTTGGCAGAAACAGTCTCCCAGTGGCCTGCCTGGGAGAGGCCTGCAGGGGTGTGAGGGCAGAGCTCATCTTTGGCTCTACTGTGTATAGACAATGGGACTGCCCCAGGGTCTCACTGGCCATACTGCCCTGAGTGTCCCTTAGCTCTCACTGGGGAAAGCGTATGAAGGGAGAAGACCCTGGAGTCTGGAGACCCGAGGGTGCTTTGCTGGCACTGGTTGGGAAATGGGCCTCAGGGCACTTGTATGACTGAGGAGACGGAGGGAGAAGATGGAGCTGAGATTATTTTCAGCTGGGGGTGGCAGGAAGGGACTCTAGGGACTCAATATGTCCACTCCATCTTTCCACACACCACTGATTTTCTTTTTCTTTCGTCCTTCCTTCTTTCTTTCTTTCCTTCCTTCCTTCCTTCCTTCCTTCCTTCCTTTCTTTTTGAAACAGGGGTTCTCTGTGTAGTCTTGGCTGTTCAGGATCTCTCTCTCTCTCTGTAGACCAGGCTGGTTTTGAACTCACAGAGATCCATCTGCCTCTGCCTCCCCAGTGCTTGGATTAAAGGTGTGCATCACCACTGCCTGGCACACCACTGATTTTTTGATCTGTTGATTCACTGGCCAGAATCCTTATCTGAAGTCCATCCCTCCTCCTCTCCAACAGCTAGCTACAGAACAGGAAGTCTTCTGGTGGGGGTGGGGTGGGAAGAGAAGAGCCATGAGGGTGTAATTTGGGGCATCTGTCAGCAGGGAGGTTTTTGACCTGGGCCTTGAATTGCAGGGTGTGTATGGGGGTGTCTCTTTATAAGGTGTTAGGAGAAGGGAGGTCCAGATCACACCTAAGGCAGCATCAGTGGATACCTCTTTCTTTGGCTACTTTCAAGGAAGTGGAAGCAGGAATGTTTGGGACTGCAGAGCACTGACCCACAAGAGTATGAGCCCGGGGGTGAGCAGACATATACTCACATAGGTACATGCACACATGCATGCCAACAGATACCCAACAGAGGAGATGAGATGCCGTAGGAAGAGGCCTTGTGTTTCAGGTGTTTCAGGTGCCGAGTGCTTTGAAGTTAGGGACTTCTGACCCGTGTGAACTAATGGGGATGACTTACTCAACACCCGCTGACAATTTTGCTTTCCTTTATTTGCCTGGAGTAGGGAGGTAGCAGGAGAGGAGGGTAGGGCAAGGCGGCAGATGAAGGGAGAAAGAGCCTCAGAGCTGTTGGGAAGTACCTGGTCCACGTCAGAAGAGCAGCAGAGGCCATCATGGAAAGAGAAAGAAGGCTTATGAAGCCCAGAGCAGATGGGCAAGGAGTTACCACTGACAAGGGATGATGGGCCGGCACTGGGTCCCTTAAATGAGAGGAGGGGCTGCCTCAGAGTCATAGAATCTTCCTCCAGTCTTCTGTTCCCTGGCCTTCCTGCAAGACCTTCCTCACATCTACACCTGAAGTCCTCATCCACATGGTCAGATCACTGGTGTCCCTGAAGGTCTGGGCTTGTATGGCCCTTGGAGCTCTTCTGCCTTCCCAGTCTGTGCTGGTGGCCACACCCTCAACTGCTACCCTTCATACTCTCCTACACACATGGGGTGTCAATAGTCATTTAAACACTGCTATTCATTCCTTACACGGTCCAAGCAAATGCACTCCTAGTTACTGCTACCCTCACCCAGCCGCATATCTGACACAGCTCCTTTCAAGGACATTCCCAGGCACACAGTCTCAGATGCACACTCCTCTCCCCTGGGATCCCCTTTTAGTTCTACAAGGAGGGCTGGTGCCAGGATGCTGAAGTGTTTAGCCATAGGCTGCCACCACCCCAAGACCCAGGTGCTCCTCAGAGGCCCCCAGTCAGCCCCCCTCCACCTGGACGCACAGGTGACTCAGAAATTGCTTTATTGAGGAGTGAGGCACAGCTGGAATGCTCAGTGTGGCACAGTCGTGGTGATGGGTGTTGATGGCAGTGGAAATACCCGGGGACCTTCAGGATTGGAAAGCATCCTCACCACTGAGGACCCCAGCCTCAGCTCTCCTGACCTTTATTTCCAAGAAAGGGTGGGTGTGCTCCATCTGGATTATCCCAGGGATCATCCTGGAGTCAGAGCCTTTGTTTCCCAATTAAACCCAAAGGGCAGAAGGGCTAGATGCCTGTCACAACGCACAGGGTCTGGTACAGGTAGCTCGATCTTCATCCCTCTTTCTACCTCGAGGGCCTGACTAGGTCCACTTAGTTGTATGAAGCTTCCTCCATAATACTCAAACACCATGGGAAGGACAGGTTTCCGGATGCAGGGTCCAGTTTCATCAATTCGGAGAGGAGGAGGGAGGATGAAGTAGGGCATAGAGACCCCCCATCTAAGAGGTCAAAGATCTGCTCCCTTCTTCGGGGTGTGAGAGCCAATGCCATCACTACACTCTCCTTTTTGGAAGTTCTAGAGATGGGACAGATGAGGCCACTTGTGTTCAGTCCTTGGCGTTACCCCTCCACCCTTCTCCTGGCCCACTAGGAGGCAGCTAGGTCCCTAGGGAGGTTGTGCTGAGTCCCTTCGGTGCGCGGTAAGTAGCCGGCCGTGGATGCTGGCGCAGGAGGGTTCAGGGCAAAGAGACCGGGCCCAGGGCTAGAGTGGCCAGAGGACGCAGCTGAAGCGGCAGGACTGAGCTGCACGGCGGTAGTGTCCTGCGCGGTGCGCTCGCTGCTCTCCATCTCCAGTGCCACGGCCCTTGCGTGCCCGCCGCCCTGGCCCTCCGTGGCTAAGGAGCGCGCTCGGGACACGGGTCCCCGGCGGCTGCACACGCAGCAAGCAGCGAAGAAGCCGAGCGCCAGCACGAGCAGCGCCGGCCCCACCACCAGTGGCGCATTGTACCTGGGCAGGGAGGCAGCGAAAGCTCCTACCAGGGTGACGTTCAGGCCAGCCAGCAGCATGCACAAGCCACAGGCGCAGCACAGTGCGGGCGACAGCAGGCCCCGTAGTCGGCCTTGGGCACGACCTGGGGCCGCTGGGGCCAAGGATGCGGTGCTTTTCTTCTTTGCTTGCGGCATCAGCCTGCGCAGGCTCTGCACAACTCAAGCTCTGTCTGGCCGCTTGCCCACAGAAGCACACATGTCAGGGCAAGCTCGTGGTGGTCCTGTGGACATATATAGCAAGAGGGCGAGTCAGAGGGGAGTGGGGTTATCAACTTCTAACCTGGGCTCAGTTCTATGGCTATCTGCACAGTCTGCTACTTGCCCAGGTCATCTTGGACAGCTCTGGGAAACAACCCACCCAATGTGAAGAATCTGCAGATTATTCCCCCCCCCCCAAGTCAGTCATTGCAAATCTTACCCTGTCTTTCTTCCAGGAAGCCTTTAGGCTCTAATTAAGAGGCTGCAAAGTGCTTGGCAGGTTGCTGGTTAAAAGAGCCTTTTTTCTTTCTGACTATTTCATAGTCCTAACCATAGTGCAGATTTTGGGTTTTAAAGAGTCCTCCTACTCCCCCATCCCCTCCTCAAGTGGTAGAGACCCGAGGATAATCTGGTTTAGTTTCTCCTTGCTCAGGTGAAGAAAATAAAGCATGGAGATGCCTACACTTTACTCGAGACCCAGACCGGGACATACTCGATTGTCTGCCCTACATTAAGGTCTCACAGGCATAACAATGACATTAACTTTCTTTCATGAACATTGGTTGGTATGACTGGCCCACGAGTGTGATGAAGCTCTTGATGTTCAGCTGTCCACTGAGGGGACAGTTTTTCCATGATCTGGACCCCTGAGCCCTTTCTAGACTGCATTCTAGTAAATTCCAGGGTTCTGCATTTCACCACCCAGGATTCTGCAGCTGGACTTAGCTTCAAAAGCCTCATCTATGGGACAATGGCTCAGAAAGTAAAAGTGCTTGCTGCCCAAGCCTGGCAGCTTGAGTCTGTTTCCCGGAACACAAGTAAAACTGCTCTGAAACAAGTAAAAGGCCAGACATGGTGGGCCAGCATCTGTAATCCCACACACTGATTGCAAGAGGGGAGGTGGAGCAGGAGAATGTGTTGGAAGCTCACTGCTTAGTTAGCTTGGAGTAACAGCACAGAAGCAGAAATAGCAGGAACTACATCTGAGCAAGAGGGAAGAGAGAGCCAACTGAAAAGGTGTCCTCCGACTTCCACACACGTGCTGTAGCATGCATGCACCCATAGCTACACACGTGCTGGGTGAGTCTGGTTCTGGAAACTATGGCTGGATTGGTAAAATTCTGGAAATCTCTGCAGAAGCAAGAGCAATATAGTCACTGTCTCAGAACGTGTGACTTCTCAAACAAAACAAAACAAGAGTGGGACATTGTCATTAACCCCAGCACTTAAAAGGCAGGGCAGGTGTATCTTTTGTGAGTTTCAGGGTAGCCAGTGAGACTGTCTCAACTCAACAAAAACAAAACCAAAACCCCAAACCAAATCCCAGCATGTATGGGAATTCTGACTTATAATATGAGGTCACAGGCACCATGGCTTGGGAAAGCCTGGTTTGTGAGCTGTGTTGAAATTGTGGAACAATGCCAGAAAAAGGTCTTAGGTAGGAGAAGACTGGTCAGTTCCACAGATGGGAATGCAGGGTGAGGAATAGGGAGGGTAAGCTGGAAAAGCAGCTTAACTGTGTTCATCTGTGTGGGGCTAATAGAAGCAACCTTATAGGGTATCATGAAGTTCTATTAGGACCAATAGACACCTCATAGGATACAATGATAGTTGAATGCTTTAAGCTAAGTAAAATGCCTGAAACATCCGCAATGAACATGGAACATGATGAAGATGGTAGAAATCTCAGCTCTGAGAAGCAGATTATGTCAGATTTGGAAACAACAGTTTCTTTGTTCAAACTCCTGACAAACAAAGATTGTTGAGGGCATCCATCTAAACTGCCTCTAGGAAGCTTCCAATATGTGGCCCAACCAGCTTCCAGTCAGTCATTAAAAGCATGCAGCTGTTGAATTTGTAAGTGTATTTGCAACCATATCATCCCTGAACTCCTACGGCCACCTGACACTTAATAACCACATTTTACAGCGGAGGAAACTGAGGCTCAGACCGGGAAGTGGATGGGAACAGAGGCCGAGAACAGAGAACGTGGTGCACACTGTACACAGTCTTGTTACGTTTCTGAGTTTTAACTTCAGGAGGTCCATGGGATTTCAATTGGTCCTCTCTCACATCCCTGCTTGCTGTTCCCCTACCTACAGTTACCATTATCTGATGTTCCATGGCAAAGGCAAGGTCTTTTTTCTTGCAGTGAAGGTTCACTTGGAGGCTGATGGATTCTGGCCCTAGCTTTGAAAGCTGACATTGGACAAGGGAGCCAGGGATGGTCCAAAGGCCGAAGGATCTTATTTATTTATTTAGCCTATATAAGATCTGAGGACCCCAGATACCCCCGGTTCTATTTTGTTGTGAGAACTCTGGTTAGCAATGCTGTGGGGGTATTCAAGCTGGATATTTCAGCTTTTACTGATTTGTTTCCTTCTGTTTTTCTTTTGGTACTGGTGGATGTCAAATTTAGGCTTAGGCTTCAATTCCTAGGTGAGCCCCTATGACTGAGCTGTTTATCAGTCCTCCAGTCCTCCAGTCACTTTCTGAGACCCAGGCTCTCTAAGTTATCTAGGCTGACCTTGAATTTTGGCTCCTCCTTAGTAGCTTGGATCACAGACCTGTCCTACTAGGTTCAGCTGAGCTTCTCCTCTTCTGAGCACACTTTAAAGCAGCATCTCCTGGGCAAGGAACCATGACAAGTCATCCCTAAACTGAACTACTGAATTCGGAAGCTAGACCCTCTCAACTTTATTCTGTTGCTACTGCTGCAAATCCTCCAGACCCTTTGTGTTTCATTCCAATTAAAGCCCTCAAGTCCAGCACTTGAGCACAGGAAAGACCACTCTCTGAATATTCAGTTGTTCAGACTCAAAGAACTTTGCTTTAGTGAGTCCTTGGCTCTCATGCATGGAAGTCAAGTGCTTGACCACTGAGCCACATCCTTAGACTTATTTTGGAAACAGGGTCTTGCTAAGCTGCCCAGGATGGCCTTGAACTTGAACTTGTGATCCTTCTGCCCTCCACTTCTGAGGAGGTGAAATTACTGGTATGTACCACTGCACTCCACAACCAAAGCCTCTATAGATAGGAGAAACTGAGGCTTGGAATGAAAGAGGTCATGGAGGGAGACTATGTTAAGCCAGAACACAGCTCCCCACCCCCCAGCACAGACAGGGCTCTGACCACTGATGTTTGCTGCCCCCGAGTCTGGTAAAGCTCTTCCCCCTCCCTGCTGTCCTGCCTCTTGTCAAGAAGGTCTTGTGATCTCTATTTGTGTGTCTAGTATAGAAGCAGTTTGGGAGGGAGCCTCAGAGGTGACCATAAATTGGGATTTCAGCTGATAGGCAACCTGGAATAGCTGGAGCCTCTTCCCAGCACCATAAAGGGAGGGATGGAATAGGAATGGTTATCTCTGAACTGAGGTCTCTTGATAACCTGATGCCCCTTAACTACTTGAGGGTTGTGAAGGTAGAAATAGGGGTCTGTTTAGAAGTCCCTATCAAAACATCACAAGGTACCATAAAAGGATCACTGATCAGTAATACGACTGTTCTTGTTCATTTCTCCAAACTCTTTGCTTTGGGCTGAATTAGGCTATTTCCAAAGAAGTCACCGTTGTACCTGGGTTCTCTCTCTCTCTCTCTCTCTCTCTCTCTCTCTCTCTCTCTCTCTCTCTCTCTCTCTCTCTCACACACACACACACACACACACACACACACACACACACACACACACTGCTTCCCACCCCTCTCTCCTGTGTCTGTAGATCAGAGGAAACCTCAAATTCTTCAGATGCTATACAGACACAGAGACACACCTTTTTTCAAAGACTGTCACTGTTGATTAAAATTACCCAGGTAACCATCAGCAAGCTTGGGATGATTATCAGTAGGTAGAGCTTATGGCTCCTTGGGGGGAAGTTTTTGCCTGATGCCCCTGTGTCAGCCTGTCTCAGACCATGGTTCTAAGATTTCTGTGTTGAATAAAAGCAACTGTCTGGCTGGCAGCAGCTGCCTGGCCTCCCAGCCCTGACTCCTGCTCCAAGAGCCTCTGAATAAGAGCCCAGAGCCTTTGGTAAATAAATATATTAGCCACTGTTCCTGGCCTTGTCCTCCGTGTGTTCCTGACTTTTTGCTCAGTCAAAGTGCTTTGTTGTTCCTTGACTAGGACTCTTCCTTTCCTTCTTAGTCCCTAAAGTTTGGACAAGGCCTGTCCTCTGGGACCCCAGTCTAATGCTCATTCTATTCTTAACTCTACTCCATCCTCAGAGAGCCTCCTACATCACTGTTACTCATTGCCTGCCAGGGCTTATTCATTACACTGCAAGTTCTCAGTTCTTGCCAAATGGATTCTGCCTCCCCAGGGCCCAGAGAGACACTATCATCCCTCTCCAGTTAATGGCCAGGATCTTTCCCACCCCCTGACATTTGCAAACACATACACACACACACACACACACACACACACACACACACACACACACACCAATGTAGAAGCAATATTTGAGGAGGAAGTTTGGAAAGCCTGGCTTTCTAGTCCATGTGTGACTTCTGGGCTCCTTCATCTGGTCTCCCAGTGTGTGACACCCACCACCCCCTCACTCACCACATGCACCCTCAGGAGCCAAACATACCCAGAACACTGCCGCATTGCACGAGGGACTGCAGGCATAGGCTGATACATTCCTGTCTGGTGGAGATGAGCGTCTGCTCAGCATGTGTATCTCTGTGCCATGGTGGTGTTAGAGGGTGCCTCAGAGCAGTAGCCTCAGGAGAGCTGAGGGGTAGGAAGCTCTGCTTCACATGCTCCTACAGTGACCTGTTTACAGTGGGTCTCCATGCCTCTAGGTAGCAAGAAGTCCCAGAGCTCCACGGTCACACTCCTAGCTGTGAGGTAGGAGTCCCATTTGGAAAGTCTCCACAGGCTTTTCAGGCTCTCATTCTAGCACAGTAGATGGCCCAAATGACAAAGGATTCTGCATCAGTCAC